AATCAGATTTTGTTGAAAACATTCCTTGCAGCAAAAGTTTGCAGAAAACTCCCAACTTTTTTATGTTTTAGATTTTTTTGGTACAAATTGACTGCTTTCAGGAACGATATTATGTTATCCATGTCAGTTTTTTGGAACAGTTCCTTCATGTTACTTGCACTATAAAGCGTTTCTCTTATATGGGCTAGGTCAGTACATTCAATGAGAATGTGTTTCACTGTGTATGCGGTCTGGCATGCATAACACATTGGTTGTTGCTTTGCTTCAAGTAAGTAGGAATGTGTTGTCCTTGTATGGCCTATTCGAAGTCTGGACAATATCACTTCCTCTTTTCTATTTTTCCTATAGCTCTGTTTCCATTCTCCCAATTCAGGTTTAATTTTTAGTAATTTATTATTACTATTGCTGTTCCAGCGTTGTTGTCTTTGTTGCAGTATGTATTTATTTATCTTCATTTTAAGGTCTGTATATGGTATTTTGAAATTTTTTCTATGGTCATATTTAGAGTAGACCTGGCTGCTTTATCTGCCTGGTCATTTCCACCGATTCCAGTGTGACCTGGGACCCAACATATCTGTATATCATTATCATTTGATAGGTGTTCTAATTTACATAGTATTTTCACTATCAATGGATTATCAAACTCCCTGTTTTTTAGTGATTCTAATACTGATAGTGAATCAGAAAAGATAATGAACTTGTTGTTCCTTGATTCTGAGATGAGGTTAAGAGCCATGTTAATTGCGCAAACTTCTGCACTGAATATAGAGGTGTCATTTGGGAGATGTTTTTTAAATATTTTCCTATTATATATTGCGGCACATCCTGTTATTTTTCCTACTTTAGATCCATCTGTGAAGACATGTGAGTGCCTAGGATATCTCTCCTTAACTTTCTCTAATTCCTCTTGGAAAATTAGTGGGTGGGTTTTATTTTTGAAGTATTTACAGAGGGTTAAGTTTATGTTTGGGGTTCTTATGGTCCAAGGTGGGATATCTGGTATGATTGTTTTATGGATTTTTGTCAAATCTACATCTGCTTCTTCTATAATTGTTTCCATCCGAAGTCCAAAAGGGTTTTATGGCTTTTTTCATTCCTTTGGAATAATTCTTTGTATTTTGGATAGAAGGTACTATTGTACGCAGGATTTGCTGGGCATGACCCTAATTTGACATAGTACTGGAGGGCCAGTTTATGGCTTCTACTATTTGCAGGTGCTTCGTTAGCCTCAGCATATAGGCTCTCGACTGGAGACGTTCTAAAGGCTCCGAGTACTAACCTCAAACCTCCATGGTAGATCGGGTCAAGCATTTTTTAAATAGGATTTTCTGGCTGAACGGTATATAAAAATACTGTAATCCAATTTTGATCTAATTAGGGATCTATACAATAATAACAGAGTGTTTCGATCTGCTCCCCCATTTTGTGTGGGCTACCACGCGCAGTAGTTGTAATGTTTTGTTACATTTGGTTTTAAGTATTTCAGGTGGGGAATAAATGTTAGTTTTTTTGTCAAATATTACCCCCAGAAACTTGTATTCATCTACAACTGGGATCTCTGAACCGTCAAGTTTCAGCCTAGGGTCATTATGGAGTTTCCTTTTGTGACAAAAATGGACACATTTTGTTTTTGTTTTAGAGAACTTGAATCCATTTGTTGTTGCCCATCTGCTGATTTTATTTAGACCCTGTTTAAAAAGTGTTTAAGAGTGTAGGAAAGGTTTATAAGAGTGTATGGAGGCTTTATAAATGCTTTGATATATAAAAATATTAAAAAATATATATTACAATACCCAGATGAAATACTTTAGCCAATCCTATTTCTACTTCGCGGATTTTCACCTATTGCGGGGGGTTCTGAAACGTAACAGTTGCGATAGTCGAGGGATTACTGTAAAGGGTTCAATTCGAAATTCACAGAAAGATACCAGGATCGACAGACTCCTGAAGAAGGCCGGAGAGCGTTAACGTTGTGATAATAACAACAAAAATGAAGTAATTAGTCTGAATGCAAATAATTAAAATAGTATTTATTTACTTTCATTTTTAATCAAATGAAACATTGTCAACTATTATTATTAATTTTTTACTCATATTTACTTCAATGTTTATTTTATTAAATGAAGTATTGTCAACCATTATTACTAATTTTTGACTAGTATTTACTTATTTACACTATTTACATTGTTCAAACTTCTGTTCTCATCTTTACTGTCATATTCACAACGTTTCGGCCGCTGTACACTTCGGCCTTCTTCAGGAGATATACGTTGAAATTTATCCAGCCTTTATTTTAGCCACCGGGGTAGATTGTTCTAGTTCCACATGCCATGCCCTTTTCTAGATGTTTCAGTTATTTCCCCTTAGTAATTCGATTCTCCAAGTTTTTGTTTACCTTTGCTGTGGTCAGGTAATGAACTCATAAATCTTTGAGTCACGTCACTGGATTTACTTTCATCGTAACATCTTAGTAGCAGTTTAGTGCAACTTTACTCAGGCTGTCATTCTACAGCAGTCAGAAGAGACTGCTTATCCTTTATTTCCGATCATGGACTGTCTATTCACTGCCGTAGAATGACGGTCTATGTTTCCTAACTTGAATCTTTACATAAGAATCCAATTCTCAAAAAAACAAAAACAACCTGTGGCATACCCCCCACTGAAATGAAATGCTTCCGAGCATGTATCAAGCATAAGAATAATGGAGTAAGCCTTATAGTAGTTTACTTTGTAATAATGTGTTGGGTTTTGTGTCCTCTCTGGATCGACCACCTACTACATAAAAAGGTATCAAGAAAAAAGGCCATTTCTTTTTGGTATTCGTTTTATTCAGAGTGGCATCTTGGATTCTAAGAAGCAGCAGGAGGAATGATGTCACAGGAACGCAAGTTGCACGTTGGCTCACTGTCTATCCGCGTGTGGTCTTAGCTAGTCATTAACTTGGATGTGGGAGGCATATCGACGTTTCAGAATTCTTGAGACCCTACATTGAATTCACGCTTTTTTAAAACCATATTCAAAACCCAGACAAATGCAATCCATCATTGTCAGAATACCCCGCCTACGAGGCACTCCAGACAATTGCTGACCATTCTGGCCCTGGTTTTCAAATTCTATAATAAATGATTATCGTTCTAGCTTAGTTGCAGGAGAACATAATTACTTGTGGAGGGAATTCGATCCTCTTTGACTGTCTTATGCACATGACCAGATTAAACCGAATGGCAACAACGACAATGACGTAAAATTGTTAATGACTTTGTCTAATAGAGTAGACAGGTGATTCACTAAATTTTTATAGCTGCCACCCCCTAGTTCCCAAAACATATCCCTAGCGCCCCTCTGTTATATCCATATTAAATCACTTCTTTTGAGCTATTAGGTATGCTGAAAATTCAAAACAATGAATCTAACACTGTAAACACACAGATGTATTTCAGCTTTTCTCCAATACAATTTGATAAGATGTCGATAGACGAACATCCATAGCTATATCGCTACACCTACATAACTCGAGCATTGATCCCTGCATACGTTGGCTGTTTGATCTGGCTGTTGTGCATTGCATCTTGACCAGATAATTTCAGCAAGATACAAATTTCGAACTTTTAACTTTGCACAACAAAATAAAACCATATGTTTGTCTATCTTTTATATTAGTTATATTCTTTTTAAAGCACACACACACACACATATATATATATATATATATATATATATATATATAATGTTGATTTTGTAAAAAAAAGAAAAAAATCACTGGACCATCTATAAACCCATTGGGTCCCTTTTAAAAGCAGTTCATGATACAAAATTATGAGGTGACAATATTATCAAGTTTATTATTAATTACACATATATTAATTTGTATTTTCAATACAAGATATTGGAATAATTATTATTACTCACATTATACAATATTAGTTAGATCAAATACAATAATATTTTCAAAATATGCAACGGCAGCAAACCAGCGTGCATCTATTTATTTATTTACCATTAAGTCACGTGACACAATTCTCCAGCTATAAAGATTACGTTTTACAATGACAAACCCACATAGCATCTTCATCTATCAAGTACTTACCAAATATCCGAGATATTTGTTTATAAAAAATTCTAATTCTAGTGTAGTGAATTGTACAAATATATGTTGCGTCATGTATATTTAAATTTATTTAATAGTGTTGTCACAATGTTTTATTAATATTTGTTATTTTTCACACACACAATAGTTGGAATACAATATGCAAGTGTTTGTTTATATGCACAGATTGATATAAGACTGTGTATTGAAAACAAATACTGAAATTCGTATTAAAAATGCCATAAAAACAGAAAAATAGCCTTAGCTCAAGAACCCCTTGTCTAATTTTAATGAAATTAAGCATTGCACTTGGTAAAGATTCAAGGTACAATATGCTTTTAAATTGGTTTGGGTATTATGTATTTTTGAAGTTGTATTTTGAGAACACACATATATAAATGCAAGGTTAGAGTTTTAGTATAAAATAGATATTACTTCTTCTACGGAGGGAAACTGTGGATAACATGGACTGAACATGTGAGCAGTGATGAAGTTTCATAGAAAATGGAAACTAAAAGGACACTTATACTTAACATCAGGAAGAGAGAGTGGAAATTGCTAGGGTCACAATGAGGAAAGAGGGCTTGGAAAATCTGATACTCACAAGACAGACTGAAAGCAAGAGGGACAGAAGAAAACAACTCATAACCTACTTAGTGAGCTTGAGTAAATGGATACCGGAACAAGGTTTAGGAAAGATAACAAAAAGACTAAATTTATAAAAAGCTATAAAGGACAGGAAATTGTGGAGAGCCATGATAGCCTACGTCCTTAAAGGACATGATACATAGAGAGAGAAGGATTACTTTGTTCTAATACTATGCTGCTGCTTACCACTTTTTCTAAACGGGAAAATTCCAAATCTCTTACTCCTTAAAGGATGCTCTCTATTATCTGAGCCTCATCCTATAGAATGTCATATGCCCTCAGCTGGGGAATCACTTCCCATTTCTTGTAATGAAATATAGCCTCTTTCATGTCCTATTAACACTATTGAACAACTATCGTTATGGTATAATTCAGATCAACTTTAATAAATAAAATAAGCACTTAAGATATTTTTAACAAGTTCAATTTTATTATAATTTGAAATTTAAATTTATTTTTATGAGGATTTAGTAAAAAAATTTTCAGTTAATTCAAGAAGTGATTTTAAAATTAATTCTTGTCATGATGTTTGATTTTCAAAAATAATTCAGGCAAAAAATTCATAATCCTTAAACTGTAATTTTTTTTTTAAAAATAAATTTTCATTTCAGTTCTGGAGAAGTAATTCCAAATATATTTGGAGAAGGGCAAGGTACAATCTGGCTTGATGACCTCAATTGTACTGGATCAGAAGATGATCTTGAAGTTTATCCCAATCTTTCTTGGGGAGCGCATAAGTGTAGACACAATGAGTATGTTGCCATTAAATATTTCAAAAAAGCAAATACAACCTTATCACTAGCCACAATTATAATCCCAACTTTCTCGACAGACCAAAATGGTAAGTCAACATTTTTTATAATTCATAATTCTTACTCTGTAATGTAATTTTTTTTTCAAATAAATTTTCATTTCAGTTTTAGAGAAGTAATTTCAAATATATTTGGTCAAGGGGAAGGTGCCATCTGGCTTGATGATCTCAATTGTACTGGATCAGAAGATGATATTGAAGTTTGTCCCAATCTTTCTTGGAGAACGCATAACTGTGGACAAAGTGAGGATGTTGCTAGTAAATGTTTCAAAAAGTAAATACAACCTTATCAACAACTACAAGTATAACTCCATAAATGATTGAAGTATACCCTTAGATCAGTTATGTAAATTAAAAAGAGGCTTAATCTGAAAAGTAATCCTTGGGGGAGACTTGTATTCATTGCTAGGGTCCTGGACAACTGTCTGTTTACCACTTGGGATGTACCTTATGACTGAAATGACTCTTGTAGTGATTCTATAGCTAGAGAGTTTGCACAGTAATACTTTATCCATATGCCTTTGAATTCTAGTTCTTGTTTGGGTCTATTTTGACAGCATGAGTTTCATCAAGCTTCTCTGCCATCATGCTTTAATTTGTACTTACCCCTCTAACATAACACTCTGATATATACCACATCATTCAGCTCTCTTACTCCTTAACCATTACCATGCTAATTTCTTTCTAGAATTATTCCCCCTACCATTACATTTTTTTTTGTTAAGGGTGCAAAAACATGAACACCTAGTATGGTTATCATCTTCAACCACTTCCCCATCAATATCCATTCAAGAATAGCCTTCACAATCATCATCAGAGTCCTAATCAAAGAAAAACTCCTGAATAAAGGCTTTGCTCGATATTGATGTGGCCATTTTTGTTTACAGAAAATCACAAAAAAATTAACATGGATTTAATTGATATTACACCTCATATAGAGTTGAGAAGAATTCAAAATGGCATTGGAAAAAGGAAGTTTAACCTTCTTCCAAAATGGTAATAGGTGATTTCCAGTTTAAAAGACTGGAAATAACAGTTGACAAGTGTTTATTTATAGCATCCATCTCAAGGCGACAAAATGTGCCTAGAGCAGCAAAGGGAGAGAATTCTACGGAGACTATTTTCACCTTCATTGTGGTAAAGGATAAATGATGCTCCCTATTATCTGGACCTTATCCTATAGAATGTAATATGTTCCAGGCTGGGGGACCACTTCCCATTTCTCATAGTGAAATGTAGCCTATTCTACGTCCTATCAATGCTATTGCCACAATCGTTTTTTATGATGCAGTTCAGATCAACTTTAAACAATTTAAGTTTTGAATTTGAACAGCCCACCATCAGTGAAATAATGAGTATCAAACAAGTAGTTTTATTGTTTTGTTTTTTATGGTTTATCAACCTTTTTCAGATTATTTGAAGCCAAAGAATATTTTAGAGAACAACAATGACAAGTCGTACTACACATGCATATAACTGTAGGGGAGAAGAGGTGGATTTAAACCTTTCCCAAGAGTACTAGCATGTAAGTAAATATAATGAACCCAACTGGAATTGGAACTTGGTTATCTGATTTCTTATTCCATATTCATTATACCACCATCACATCGCCTTACAGAACCAAATTTTCTCAAATGTCACCCATCTAGGTAGACATGACTTGATGTTGCTTAACTTTAGTGATTGAATGAGAACTGTTGTTTCCATGTGATATGGCCATAAGCCTTCTTTAATAATCTGATCAGTTTCTGAAGGGCATATACTTGCCATTAAACTCCCTGTAGTCTCATTTGGCATTGTGCTGATTCCCCCATGACACTCCCCAGGGAATTTATAAATATAAACAACAATGAAAACTCTTGAGTGAAAAATTTGTCTAACTGTAGTGGGGCTGATAATCAATAAAACATAGACAGCAGATTTACTTACATAAAAATATTTTCCTCTCACTCCTTTACTTCCTTTCTCTCTCTCTCTCTCTCTCTCTCTCTCTCCCTACTATTCTTTTCTTTCTTTCTCATCTTTCCTCTTATTTTTACTTTTTCAGTTTCTTCTTTTTCTTTTTCCTTTCAGTCTATATTTTTCTCTCTCTATTGTTCATTCACCTATTTCTCTACTTTTCTTTCCTTCGCATTGTTTCTTCACTTCTCTCACTTCTCCATCTCCCCCTCTCTTGTTCACTAGGCTATTTCTTTATTTCTCTTTTCTTCTTTCTTCTCACTCTCCTTTCATTCTTTTTTCACTTCTCTCTCTCCCCTCTCTTGTTCGCTAGCCTATTTCTTTCTCTTTCCTTCTTTCTTCTCACTCTCTTCTTTCATTCTTTTTTCACTTCTCTCTCTCCCCTCTCTTGTTCACTAGCCTATTTCTTTCTCTTTCCTTCTTTCTTCACTTCTCTCTCTCCCCCTCTCTTGTTCGCTAGCCTATTTCTTTATTTCTCTTTCCTTCTTTCTTCTCACTCTCCTTTCCTTCTTTCTTCACTTCTCTCTCTCCCCCCTCTCTTGTTAAGCTAGCCTATTTCTTTATTTCTCTTTCCTTCTTTCTTCTCACTCTCCTTTCCTTCTTTCTTCACTTCTCTCTCTCCCCCTCTCTTGTTCGCTAGCCTATTTCTTTATTTCTCTTTCCTTCTTTCTTCTCACTCTCCTTTCCTTCTTTCTTCACTTCTCTCTCTCCCCCTCTCTTGTTCGCTAGCCTATTTCTTTATTTCTCTTTCCTTCTTTCTTCTCACTCTCCTTTCCTTCTTTCTTCACTTCTCTCACCCCCCTCTCTTGTTCGCTAGCCTATTTCTTTATTTCTCTTTCCTTCTTTCTTCTCACTCTCTTCTTTCCTACATTCTTCACTTCTCTCTCTCCCCCTCTCTCGTTCACTAGCTTTTATTTCTCTTTCCTTCCTTCTTTCTTCACTTCTCTCTCCCTTGTTCACTAGCCTATTTTTCTTTTCTTCAGACAAACAAAATTGGATTAATTTTTAATTTCATTTTCTTAACATTCTTGCATTTTCCCATTAAATGGGAATAAGGGATTGCAAAAACTGTCCATATTATCCACTGTCCCAAGCACTTTCAGCCACTTCTTTAGCCATTTTCAATGGGGTTTGTTTTTAGGTGTTGCTAATTTCTTTTCATGTTTGACTATTTACGATGTATTTTTTGTGTTGCTTTGAATACTCGTACAAGCGTTTATTCTGAGCTTCGCACGCTGAGCACACTTGGAATACAAGAGTGTGCTTCCCTATTTTTTTTTAAAAAACTTTCAACATGCCATTCTTACTGTTGAATAAGGTGAGGTTGATAGTGGGGACAAGATGTTTTATATACAGGGCTTCTCTCACAGCAAGATGTTTCTGGTAATGTGATTTATATAAAATTTTGTATTTCCAAACAGAATTTTCCTTAAAGTATCTTGTAAATCATGGGTGACTAAATGCTTTTTTTTTATAGCATTTGATCTGATAAGTCACATGTGAGTCAACTACTCAAGGAGGTGGTATTATATATAAATATAGTTTTAAGGTATGCTATATTTATGGGTTAAAGTGCTCAATATCAAGGATAGAGCATATGTAATTATAAAAGTGGACATTGATGACAATACTCAGAGGTGGTAGTCTGTTTCATGCTGAACGCAATCATCAAATCATGTGTGTTATGTTTTGACTTGACTATTTATATATACAGGTCACTGATGCATTGTGGGCAGTTTAATAGACTACCCACCCACAATGCATCAATGACCTGTATAGATAAATAGTTGAGCAAAAACAACACACAGCCTGACAATTGCGTTTAGCATGAAAGAGACTATCACCTCTGAGTGTTGACGTCAATTTTCACTTATATATATATGAAATGGGTAAAGTCCAACAATTATTTTAAGACATTCTTATGTTTATACATTCTTTTTTATAGATACAAATATTTAAGTAAATGCTCTGTTTATAATAAACAGTATTAACAACATTTACTGGCCTGAATGTCCGAGAAATTTTCATAGAAAATATGAGTCCTCCAACAGGAATCGAACTAGTATCCTATACGGAACCGTCATATAGTCTGACGTGCTTTTACCAATTTCGCCACAGAGGAGAATTCGGTTAGCAAGGTCGATTTTACTGTTTTCAAACTACAATTTTCCATGATTTTCTCATGTACATATCTGTTCGATTCATATCCAAAGGTAAACAAATGACGTCACACATTATGAAATGCACAAAGTCAGACAATTATTTTAAGACATTTTTATGTTTATATATCTATAAAAAAAGAATGTATAAACATAAAAAATTGTCTTAAAAACATATAAAAGTTTAATGGCCAGAGTTGAATCGGACTAGGAAACAGCAGTATTAAAAAGTGCTCAATACATGTATGAAAAAAACAAAAGTAAAAATAATGTGTAAAGCTTTTAACTTTAAAAATCAGGAGATCAGCTGAATTCGCTACCTTGGTTTCAACCTTACAGTATCCTCAGGCAATTTTTATCAAATGACCACCTTATGCTTTTTTATTTTCTTTTTTCTTCACATCCTCCTCCTCCTTTCTATTACATCCAATGTTGTGCAGTTGTTCATTTATTTTTAAAAATAATAATATAGCATTTTTTAGTTTTTTAAAAAAAATAAAAAAGTGTTAGGTGGTCATTTGATAAAAAACAACTGAGGATATCATAAGGTTGAAAACAGTTGTAACACATTCAAATGACCTCCTGATTTTTAAAGTGTGTTTGTATATATATATATATATATATATATATATACAAACATTTTTGATTAAACAGTTTAGACATGTGTTTGTTTATTTTCAATATTAATCCTTTTGTAACCTTATATAAGCTTTGTTGTTTCATGATTAAATAGAACAAGAAAGGTACCAGGGTTGTATTTATTCATTTTTCCAAGTACTTTTGACATATTCCAATATCATCTTCACGGTTATCATGGTTTAAGACAAATAATTGTGTTTCTCTGAAGTAAATTTTTGCTTTTGGTATTAAACTGTTAATGGTTTTGTAGAATTTGGTAATAGCAACAGACAGTACTTGAAAGTAATAGAAGTTGAGTCAACTGACTAAGGTAATCTACCAGGCAAATTGGTAGGTGGTTTATATAACAGCCTGGGAGATTCCATTCTGTTACCCAGGCAAGCCTAAGCTGTCAGTTCTGATTGGCTGATGATTCAATTGTGGATAAATATCCAACATAATGTGACTATTCAAGAAAGGAAATGTATTATTTTTATCTGCCAACTGGATGCTAGTTGGAAACCTCCTTGAAAAATGTATGTGTAATTGTACATGCTCCATTCAAATCTGGCTTGATAAATTTGATAAAATCTACCGTTTTGAAGTTATCAACAGTGAAAGTTTGGATTCATTCACGTCGCTGGCAGCCATTACGGGTGTTGTTTGTATACATTCGCTGCAGAATAGCTGTCAGTGTATGTATCATTGTGCAAATTGAGAGTGCCTACATAAATAGTTGTCATGCACAGTAATTGAGACAAATTTAGACAAGGAAGATCAGTTACAAGCTTAACTTTCCGTAGTCTTCCGCGTTTAACCTTCTGCAGCGAATGTATGCAAACAACGTGAATAATGCTTGCCACCAACGACGCAACTGAATCCCAAATTTCATTGTTGATAAGTCCAAAACAGAAGATTTTATCAAATTTATCAAGCCAGATTTGAATGGAGCATGTACAATTACATATAAATATAAGTATACTGGATATTTTTAATGCGAACTGAGCTCAGGTGTTATACCACAAATTAACCTTTTTTTTTTATATAGTGTTATCTATAAATTCTAAAGGTACCCTTTAAGTCCCTTATCCAAAAGGCACATTTATCTCTTATTATTTTATATACTTTGATTTGTTTTTTTTCATGAATTTCTGAAGGTTTCTTTTAAGTCTTAACTACTGTCTGATTACTACTGGGTATTAATAAATAGGTCATCTTTTTCTCCTTTACTTCTTTTTCTCTTCCTTTCCTCTCTGACCACCACTCATATCTAGACTTACACTACTTCCTGTTTTCTTTTGCTATCTTCCCTTCCTTTCTATTCTTCATCTTCTCCCCCCACTTCTTTCTTTCTCCCGTCTGGCCTTTTTTTATTTCAATAATTTATCATCCATTGACTGTTTGAAAAATCCTGTAAATTTAATTAAACAAGGTGAAAATGATCATTTACATAATGGTATCTTAATTCCAATTGTATTTTATATATATATATATATATATAGATAGATAGATAGATAGATAGATAGGTAGGTAGATAGATATGGTTATTAATTATAATAATTTAGACAACAATAATTAAATAAACAAGTCTTAAAACACAATTTTAATTTAGAATGCAAACATAATAACAGTCAGAATATACTCAGCACCTGAAGATTGCAAGGCAGCATGAAACTCCGAGTCATGTTATCGATATTGGATATTATGTATATTCACACACACACACACACACATATATATATATATATATATATATATTATACACACACATACAACTATGGGTAAATAGCAGGACAGACTGGGTTCTATAGCCTTGGATGGCAACTGGTCTAGGAGGAGGACAACTCTGAATTCAAAACCTGCAGAGGGTCGTTTGGGGATCTTGTGCACTTAGTGCACCAGGACTCTGTATTTTGGCCCTTCAAAAAGTGTAGATGGTTCTGCATGAAACCTTCACCACTATAATCAAATTTCATGTGCTGTTGTCGGGCTGTCAGTTTCCTGGGAACTGATCTGCTCATACGTCGAATTCAACGGGAGAGTCAAGTACACACACACACACATATATAAATTTTTGTGCATCTGGTTACTGTAAAAGATATTAATGTTTTGTGGTACCATTTAATTTCCATAGGAATAATCTTATTTGTTTATTGATAATGTAGTTAGGAAATTATTGTTAACCAATATTTGTTTGGCAAACATGAACTTACATGCCTGCAATAAGGAGGAGTGTCAAAAGAATAGTTTTTTCCATGACATTGCTTTTGTAACTATCTTCACTCTTTGGCAATATTTGTTCTTTTACAAAGTGATTAGAATTGGAATTAAGCCTAAACATCTGAGAGTGAATTTATACATTTTTTTGTTCCTGAGAATTTACAACAAAAATATTAAAAGTTATTTATTTATTAGATTATTTACAAGAATAATTGTATATTTACGACATTCTAAAAAAAAAAAAAACTAATAAAATTAGAAGAAATGCAATGCAATATTTATCATGTATGTAGAAATAAATGAGAAAAAATATTTTTTTTATTTATAAATTTACAAACATTCACAAAATTATTAAAATATGTGAACCAAGTATAAGGAAATCATTATTATTTGCAAGTTTTAATCAATTGGCAATTAGCTTATCTTTTGCCAACCATTTGAATAAACAATATAATTAAATAAATTAATAAAATAATAATATATATAATATTATATTTATATATATATATATATATATATATATATATATATATATATATAAAATATAATATATTATTATATATATATAATATTATATTTAAGTTATGAAGAACTTGGAAATCCATATGGGTAATCCCAAGGAGGATGAAATCCTGAGAGCTCAATGTAAATCCAGAGCTAATATTTAAAAAACAGACCACTTTAAGGTACCATTATAATAATTTATTTCACCAGAGTCCTTTTAAAGGACGGCGGATCATCAGATAGCACTTCCAAGAATGTTGTTGGAAGTGCTATCTGATGATCCAACGTCCTTTAAAAGGACTCTGGGTGAAATAAATTATTATGACGGTAATTTTAAAGTGGTCTGTTTTTCTTTTAAAATTTATATATATATATATATATATATATATAATATATATATATATATA